CGGGCAGCATGGGCACGTCCGCGCGCTGGGCGCTGTGGCTGCTGCTCGCGCTGTGCTGGGCGCCCCGGGACAGCGGCGCCTCTGCAAGCGGTGAGTGGGGACGCGCCCCTCCGCACTCGGCCCGTAGCAAGCCGGGGCGCCCGCGATCGCTGCGTTTTGGGGGGCCCTGAGGCTCCTCTTGCCAACCCCCTCCTAGGAGGCGCCTCTCCGCGCTCCTCTCCTGTCTTCCCTCCCCGCCCGGGTGGCGCCTCTGAGCTGTCAGAACCGAGGCTACTAAGAGCTGGGCCCGGGGGCCGGTGGGGTTTAGGGTGTCCTAAAGCGTCCCTTGAACTTGTTGTCATCCCCCTATGTCCCCTTTCTTCCCAGAACCTCTGTTTTACACGATTTTCATCTTCCCCGACAAGGGCTTGGGGATGTGAGCGTTGGAGGCACTGAACAATGGTTCTGCCTCCTCTGCCAGGCGGGCTGTTAGGACCGTGGCAAAGCACCGGGCCCGAAAGCCCGGGTGCGCCCCTCAGACTTAAGCAGGGTTGAGAGCGCTCTGTGGGTGAAGGTGGGCGTCTCCGAGGACACCGGGCGCCAGGTGCCGGCCGGGCAGGGAGTCCTCGCGCAGCCGTGAGCTGGCGCACGTTCGGTGGGCGGCAGCCTGGAGGCCGAGCCATGACAAGTGCACAGCCTGCGCACCGGGACTGCGACTCCCCAGGCGCCGGGCCGTCTCTCAGGCTCCAAGTGTGGCTTCCAACTGGACTGTCCTCCGAGTGCTTTTCTTCCTTCCTTCCCCGGGGATTCCGCCGCTAATGCGGCGTTTGTATATCTCTGGGTCTCTGTGATAACTGAACGGGGGAGGGGAGTAGGATCCAGACTTAATCAGGTTACTTTGCCGAGCCTCGTCCGGGGTTACGCTTCCCCCCCTCCCCCAAGAAACTGAGTCCCAGTATAGTGACAGCAGTTCGCCTTTATTCTACACAATAAATCGAAGATGTAGTGCTAGAGCTGGGGTGTGACTGTAGCTTGGGGAGGGCGGGGGTCACTATCATATGTCCCCAGGGGTTAGCGCACTGACTTGGGATCCCTGTGTGTTTTCAGTCTCCCATCTTGGTCGCACAACTTTCCAGAGCAGGCAATAAGACGCCTTCCCAACAAGGTCCCGTTTGTTCCTCGGCAAGCCACTTAAGAGGTCTTAGAGGTCTTAAGAGGTGACACCAAAGTGCTTGCTTGCCAACCAGCTCTAGGTAATTAGGGCAGAATACTGTCCCAGCTCTAGAGAGTCCACAGTGCCCATCTCCTGTCGCCGGATAGCTTAGAAGGTCGACCTGTGTGTGGTCACGTGTGTCCTCGAGTGAGAGCGAACTTTCAAGTGTGTGGTCAAGCAGTCTGTCGACCTATGCTGGGGTGTTTAATCTCCCAGCGCCCCTGAGCCTTTGGCTCCGCTGTCCCGAGCGTGAGAAGTTGGGCAGGGCTTTTCTGCCCCATGCGATTGGCTGGTAACTGGATTGCGTTTAGGTTGGTCACGTGTTTTCACGGACTTAATTGAGCTGCCCCAGCTGGGTTACCTTTAAGATCAGCCAGGCTCAGAGGGGCTGTTCCTTCTGGTGCTTTCTCCCGCTGCACTCTGAAGAGAGGCCATGTGTAGTGAGGCTGGAGTACTATGTGTGGCGAGCCAACAAGCCCAGAGAAGTCCCTGCTTCACAGAAAATTTCAGACGCTGGCATTAATCATTAATGGATGAGTAACGCTAACTTATTAAACCATCCCTCAGAAAAAGTGACTTGACTTGTGTTATGTATTTTGTAATATTTCAAAACATGACTGTATAAAAATGCAATATTGACTGTGATCCAGGGAGGTAAGAGAAAAGAGTCACTTTAGCTGCAGGTCCCTCTTGTGTTCTGGGAACTTTTGATGTGCTAACTTTACATTAGGTGCTGCTTTTTATGGGGTGGTAGGAAAGCATCCCAGGCTGCTGCACTGAGCTAGTCCAAAGTCAGAAGCTGTTCAGTTGGGATCCGTAAAGCAAGGAGCAAGGAGTATTTGCTCCTCCCTTACTGCAAGTGGAAGTTGATGGTGCAGCAAAAAGTGGAAAGGAGAACCTGACACACCTAAACCATTAGAGTAGGGGAAGCAATTCTTCCTGAACTGCCCAAACATGGAGTTGGTTGAAGCAGGTATTGATCCCAAGCCAACCCAGACCGTCCATGTCTCAAGTTCAAAATATCAAGATATGTGGACTGATTTTTTCAACTCCTGGCCTTCTATGCTCGAATTTTCCGTGTAGCCTTTCTCCCTGTCCGCCAATATCCATACCCACTCAAAGCCTGCTCCAGCCTACCTGACATGCGTCAGCGGGTTTGTACTAGTTTCTTGCAAGGAACTTAAGTGAGGCTAACAAGAGGCGTCACAAAGACTGATGACAAAATACACGGGGGCTCTGGTACTCTTTCCTCCAGCCTAGGTATAAGGTGTGAGATGCTGTCTAGTCTTCAAAGCCAGAGTTCTGCAAGAGCTCTTCCAATATGACCAATGCTCTTACATCTTTACTCTGGGAGCGAGTGACTTACCAGCAGTGCTAGTGATCTGGAAGGCCAGGAGAAATAATGCCTGGCCTACCAGTGCACCGAGAGAAGAGAGAGACCATAGCCATCTCATCTACATCCAAGAAAGGCCTTGTAGACAAGGGTGTTCCCCCGCCTTTGGTTTTTCAAGACAGGGTTTCCCTGTGTATGAGTTCTAGCTATTCTGGAACTAGCTCTTGTAGACCAGGCTGGCCTTGAACTCACAGGGATTTACCTGCCTCTGCCTCCTGAGTGCTGGGTTAAAGGCGTGAGCCACCACCACCCAGCCAAAGGTGTTCTTTTTAAAAAGAGGGTCATAATCCCAACACGATGGGCAGTTCATTTCCTAAAGCCTGGAACAACCTTTTTGGCTAGAATCATTCTCCTACCAGAAACTCCAGTGTTGGCCCTGTGATATTTCAACTCTTTATGCTTGAGTCTCCAGAGACCTACAGCATGAACATAAAGGCCAAGTGTGGCAGAGCTGGCATGTGTTAAGACGTCAGGCCGACAGACTGTGTTTGCCAACACTGTGCAGAACTTGTGAAGGTGGTGGTCTCTATCTTCCAAACAATTACCAGCTGACCATTGGGCTTCTGCTTTCTTTTAAAAAAATGAATAACCATGGACAGGATTCATCTCTAATACTTTTGTGAGGTTCCGGGAGAGCTAGAGTGGTGTTGTGATCCCCTTTCTGTTCCCTGAACAATGTCAGACTAATAGAACCTAATGTCCTAGAGCACAGCCTTAAGGTCAAGGGTGCAGATAGGACTTCAAGCTTAGATTCTCAAACCCTACCACTTACCAAGTAGCATAGAAAGAGAAAATGTATAGGAAATATTCCCTAGCCCCTCACAGAGTGCAAAGTTGTTCTTAGTAAAGAAAACAGGATGGAGATGGGGTAGTTCCCTCTTCAGCCTCTGGCCCTGGCCCTGATTGGCGTCATTGGCCTTGCTTCGGAAAGCTGCTGTCACGCACTAGCCTATGAGACATTAAGCACATTACAGAGTCGAAATGGGTCTGAAATGGTGCTTGTCACACATATACCTGGCTTACACGAGCGAGTTTCACAGCAGGCTAAGGCAGCTGCCCTTCACACATTAGGAGATAGAGTCTTCTAACTTGAAGTAATCTCAAGAGATCACCCAGACTACAGTGCAGTAGAAGACTTTCAGGAAAAACAAAAGCCCTTCTTTGGAGGTTATGAGGGCAGTGTACATATTGAACAGGAGTAATCTAAGTTTGTCTTTCCTCCTCGTTGAGGAGGGGACAACCTGAGGACTGGTAGCTTGTTCTGGGGTCCCCAAGGCATCATATAACCCAGTTCTTGAGAGCCTGATTTTGTAAGTGAAAACTGGCTCAATTTTTCTCTCTATATTTGTTTTTGATATAAATCGCTATCTCTCTGTTAAGCTCTAGTGTTAATTTACACTCAAGGCCCTGATAGTGGTAAGTCCCAACAAGTTAGATGTGCTAACTGTTGTTAACTAACTGAGAAAGCAGGTACCCCCTTAAACTGGGCCCGGTTTGCCTTCTTGCGCAGAACCCTGGATGATTTGGGCCTGCCAGTCATTCCTAGGCTCTAAATTAAAAGCGTAAGAGAGAATCTGCTGTGTGTAGGGAGAGTAAGCACAGAGATTGTCCAGAAATGTTTCAGCGTTTCTGCAAACGGCATCTTGCCAGCATCGTGTGGGAGAGTGGCCATGTGGGGAGGGGAGAGAGTACACCAGAGCCAACATTTAAGAAGTGCATTTAGGGCAAGAAACTACAATTTGGAAAGGTTAGGCACTCACTAGAGTGGCCAGTCTTGCCACTAACTTGGGGCATCTGGGTTGGCAAGGTGGCCAGTTGTTGTGTGCCCAGAAATAGTATTGGCAGTGGAGGTGAGGGGGTAGGAGAACGTGCAGTTTGCCAGGAAATGATGATTGACGTTTGAGAGTTCACACGTTTATAACTTAGCATTTCCGGCACAGACGGTTAGTGTATACTATTCTGGTCTCCAGGACTGTCGCTGATCTTCACCTTGCCCAAGCATGCTTTCCTAAGGTCGAAGTTCTTAGCTGGCAGGGCGATTTAGCAGGCAGGCTAGACACTGAAGCCTGTCCCCCTTGTCCTTCTGCTCAGGACCACTTGATGGACCAGCACAGAGAGCTGGCCTCTTTGTGCCATTTTGGTTCTTTTGTGGGAAGTCAAACCAGGAAATTCAAGATCCCAAGAGAGCTGAGCAGAGAAGCTGTGAATGGAGTGAGCAGAGGGGGTTCTTAGTCACGAAAGCCACAGACATCAGCTGAAGATGCCGTGAGAGTCCCCACATGCTGCTTTGATTATAGCTCATGATGTTTCCCTACCATCACCAGCAACTTAGACTTCACGATGCCAACGTCAGAAGGGCTTTTCTCTCTGCCAATGGTCCTGTGAAGGCGATGGTTTAAACCACAGTGGGCTATTGCCAGCACTCCCAAAGAGCAAGAGCATGCCAGAAGTAAACCTTGGGTCTGACACAGCTAACTCCTCACCTTACCAGATCTGCCACGTGTG